AACTGGATCGTGTTCACTGTGCTCACTGCTTCACACTCCGTAATTCATTTCACAGAAGTGGTCCGAGTGATGCATGCGGGCTTCCTCTGCAGCCGTTGCAGCGTTTAACAGGGATTGGTTCCTTATTAACTAATAAAGGAATAAAAGGAAACATTCCAGCCTGCTTTCTCTTCCATCATGACTAAAATAAAGAGTTTTTCCTAAGGATTTTACTAAGTGGAAAAAAAGAGATGCCCTTTTTCTTCTTTTCTTTTCTTTCTTTTTTTTTTTAATTCCTTTTTTCCATAATGACTGTCCTGGGTCTGTTATTCTAAAGCTGAGAATTTGTGTGAGGAAAGAAAGAGATCAACGTGTTAAGAGAATTTAAAGAAAATATTTTCCATCTCCAGGGAGAACTGCTGAGGAATGGGCTTATGTGGGGGCGAGAATTTAGAATTGACATGAAGAAGGCTTTCTTATGGAGCAGATTTGGATGACAGGCTGTGGAACTGCATTCTGGAAAGATCGGAGGGGATGAGAGAGACGGCCTGCCTGTGGAGCTTCACGGGAGGCCTCCGGGGATCCTTGGCAAGGATGCTTGGAGATCCATTAAAGAGAAAGCCCTATTTCTGGGTCTTCCTGTGAATTTCCTGCTCTCAAACCTCAGTCCTAAACAGAACCCTCTTCTCTCAAATATCCCAGGTGCTGCTTAGCTTACGAGAAGACAAGGTGGCCAGAGTGAGAACATCATTTCATTTCAGCAGCTTGAGAATGAAAAGATTGAAATTCTAGCCCCCATTCGATTTCTGACCCTCAGTAACCTTGGGTGGGTCATGTAACTTTTTCGGGCCTCAGTTTTCCCAGCTGTTAGATGGATGAAGATAGTAGTCCATGAAGTCCTGGGGGATTAAATGTGACAATTCGTGTAGGTTGTTACCGCAGAGCTGTTATTGATCATAACGGCCCCGCCTCCCTTGCTAGAAGAACAGATTGCTCAATGTAAAAAGTCTTTTAAAAGCAAAAGGTACTATGCAAAAGCCGTGATGCTATCAATTACCATTATTAATAATAGGTCCATAATTACTTTTGCTGTAGTAGTAAGTGAAAGCCTCTCTGGGTGGGTGATGACTGGGAAAGTGGGAACTATTATTACTGGAGCTGCCAGCTCCTGTTACTGGCTCCACTGACATAATATTTCTCTCTGGGAATCCTTTGACAAATCAGCTGAATTTCCTATTCCCTTGCCCTAAGCGCTGTAAATTTGATCCACATGTCTCCAGTGTTGTTTCTGTAGATTAATAATGGAGAGGGGGGGAGGGGCCCGGCCCGCACAAGGGCTCTCCCAGCTGTTTGGGCTGTCTGCGGGTTTCAGCTTGTAGTTGGGGTGGTTTCCTCTTTTGTTTCACTTGCATTAATGCTTACAGCCAGCTCGTCTCTGTGTGTTTGGTTACTCAGCTGTCAGAGTTTCTGCTGCAGGGAACAAGGCGCGGTAGGGGGTTGCTCTGGGGAGAGTCCAACCATATCCTCCTCCTCCTCCCACGGAAAAAAAGCTTTGAAGCGGTGCTTTGCCAAGTCAGTGCTGGATGTGGTGGGAGGGATCCCTGCCATGCAGCAGGGGCAAAGGAGATTGAGAGGGAGCAGGCCGCAGCCACAGCAGTGTGGAGGACAGGGAGGCCTGGGTCAGAGGAAGGGCAGGCGAGGAGGGCAGGACTGACCATCAGCTGCGCCTACGGCATGGTGGCCAGGACGTGGGCTGGAGGAAGACTGCCGTGCGTGTTCGCCCAGCGAAGAGAAACACACGAGGCTCAGCTCAGGGGTGACTGTGGGTGAAACGGGCAGTAATAATACAGCTGTGTTGTCACACGCACCAGCCGCCAAATAGGGACCACCATGAGTGAGCCCCTGGAGGTATGTTTGCTGGACTCTGGGCTCTTACAGGGTCAAGTGTACACATTCTAGAGCCAGTCCTACCCGATTGGAGTCCTAGCTCTAGCACTCATCTGAGCAAATTATTCTGACTCTCTGAATGTCAGTCCCCCGGTATCTAGAATGGAGACAGCAGTGCCCATCTCGTAGGATCGTGGAAAGAATACGGGAGATGGTGCGAATAAGGCCTGCGTTCCCAGCACAAAGTGAAAATAGCAGCAGCGGCACTCGAGAGCACTGCCTCCGAGCCAAGCACTGGCCCGAGCACTGACCTCCAGTAATACAGCGAGTTAACCCTCGCCGCAGGCGTGGGAGCCAGGGACTCTCATCATCTCTAGGTGACAGATGAGGACCTGACACAGAGAGCAGGGAACTGCCCAGGATCACCCCGCTGGTGACGGAGCCAGAATCACGGGCCCCAGCCCTCCACCCCGAGGCCCTGTCTTACGGCTCTGCTGCACCTGTTGCTGGTATTGTCGTTGTCACACACATCACACATGTTCAGGACAGGGAATTCTAACCCAGACTTGGCCACATCCCAGGGCTCTCCAGTTATATCAAGGAATTTTAAGAGATTTTTCCCAAAAGTGACTGATTAAATTCCCGTGGATATTTTTCTTTTCTTTCTTTTTTTTTTTATTTCAGCATATTATGGGGGTACAGATGTTTAGGTTACGTATGTTGCCCTCCCCCCTCCCCCCCCACCTAAGTCCGAGTTTCAAATATGTCCATCCTTCGGGTGGTGTGCGTTGCACTCTTTGTGTATGTATATACCTGTCCCCTCCTCCCTGCCCAACATCCAATAGGTGTTATTCTTATACGTGCACTTATGTGTTGATCAGTTAATACCAATTTGACAGTGAGTACATGTGGTGGTTGTCTTTCCATTCTTGGGATACCTCGCTTAGTAGAATGCGTTCCAGCTCTATCCAGGAGTATACAAGAGGTGCTATATCACCATTGTTTCTTAAAGCTGAATAGTACTCC